TACATGACAGTCCTGTGTGTGACCTTAGTCAAGTCATAGTTTCTTAACCTCTGAGCCTCTGAGCTTTAGTGTTTACCCATTTGTAAAATGAGATTGTAGTTACTTCTACATATTCTCAGGGCAGTTAGGAGACTCATACACATTGCAGTGCTTTCTCAGGCAGTTCTGGATTCTCATAGGAACCAGAGATTTTTTACCACTTTTCAAGACTTGTTTACAGGCAGGACAGGAGGCTGTGAAATGTGCACCACGCCCCCTCCACGATCACACAGATCAGTACTAGGGTCTCCAGACTCCCCTCCGGGCCCAATTCCCAGCCTCTCCTGCTGAGGTCAGCTGAGGCCTCTGGGCCTGCAGGGAAGCAGAGGCAGGCCTGGGAGGACTAAGCCTCAGTGGACTCAGCTTTAATGTGCACACTGGGAACTGTCACAAGATCACCAGAACCCCACAGTTAAGCAACTTCTGGGCCAAAAGGAACAGCATCCGAGACAGTGAGGTGAGAGGGGCTGCCCCAGCTGGAGAACAGAGTATTGGCAGCCTCTGGCTGCAGAGCAAGGGGCAGCTGGGTTTTAAAGGGTGGGTCTGGTCTTCATGCCTGTAAAGCCCTTAGCCCAGTGCCTAGCACAGAGTGATTGTGAAATGTTAGCTGCTTCGATTAATGTTAGGTTTATTACAAATATGACAACCGTCCTGATTCCATGAAGTGCCAGGCCTTGTGTGGGTGTGGGGCCACGGTGGAGCCCATGGGCTAGTGGGTGGGACAACTTGGTAAGTTTTATGATGAGAAAAGTAGAGGAAGCTGGGAGAGCGTGGAGGAGGTGGGCATGGTCCTAACCCCAGCTTGCTGGGGACAGCGAGAGTTTAGCAAGGTTGTCTAGAAAATCTAAGATTTGCTATACAGCTGTTACTGTAATTTTGCAGGTACAGAAACTGATGTTTAGAAAGGTTAAGTGATTGCCCGTGGGACACACAGCTATTAAGTGAGGGAGCTGGGCTTCTAACCCAGGGTTGGCTGGCATCAAAGCCTGAGCTCTTGCCTACCAGCACACCGGGCGTGGACCCTCTACTTCCCCGTCTACTCCCGGAGAACCCTTTGGGTTCTATTCTTGGTTGAACAGTGTGTCCAGCAGGGGTTTGATCATAAAGGGCCTTGAATAAAAGGCAAAGGAGTCTGGGTTTTCTTCCAAAGGCTATGGGCAGATGAGGCAGGTACGGACTGAAACACTGTGAAGGAGTGAGTTTGCCAGAAAAGATGACCTTGTAGTGTGGGAACCTAAACAGCTTCAGACCTACCACCTATCCATATAGGAATGATGAGGGGGTAGGAGCATCTGGGACCAAGGCCTCAGGACTCAGGGGCCCAAGAAGCTTGGGGATCAGGGTAGGGGGGCTCCAAGATCTGCCTTCCAGCATCTTCAGCCCAGGTTCCTGAGGCCTTGGGAGCTCTGGAGAGCAAGGAAGGGACCGGAACTCGGACCTGGGTTCTGGCTGGACCGAGATGGTGGGGGCCAGGGGAAGGGGAGTTGGTTCCTATTTCCCAGTGTAGAGAGGGGTTGGGTGGGGCAGGCCCACAGGGCTGACACCTAGGGGTCATTTCCTCTTTCCCACAGTGTACAACAGCATCATCATGCAACCTCCCCCACCCCTGCCACATGTCAGGTAAATGCAAGCCAGGGGGCTGTGGGAGGAAGAGAGATTTTTAGGAGCCAAAGCCCTCTCCCTTCAACCCCAACCATACCAGAACTTGGAAGAGAATGGATGAAAAACCAAACTAAGAAAAGAAAAGGCTCCTGCCCACAGTGGCCCCACCCAGGCCCCATCTGTAAAGCTAAACCAAAGCCCAGCCCAGCTTCAGCCTCACACTTAATGCTGGCCCCAGCCCTAATCATAAACTCAACCCCAACCACACCTCCAATTTCACCTGCAAACTCAATTCCAATCCCAGCTATGAAGAAACACTAACCTAATCCTAAACTTGATCTTACATCAACTATAATCCCCATTATCAACTCAAATCCTGACTGTACCCCCAATTCCAAATCTAACCCTAACCCTTACCTCAGTCCCAACATCAGCACCATTCTAGCCCTGAAACTAACCCAAACCCCAACTTCAATCCTAACTTCAATTACCATCCCTAACTGCTACCTCAGTGTTTCCCTAAATTAATCTCAATTCAATTCCAACCTGTAGCCTGATGCTGATCTAACCCAATTTTTCTATAAATACTAGAGATAAGTCCCTTGTCAGATATGTCATTACCAAATATTTTTTCCCAATCTGTAGGTTCTCTTTTGACTCTTTTGGAGAAGTCTTTGGAAGCACATAGAAATTTAAAAGGTCCCAATCATCTGGCTTCTGTTCTGCTTTTTGTGCATTTTGAGTTATGCTTGATAGTCTGGGTATGCCATATATTACGGCCCCTAAATTTGCCCCTAGTTTTTCCTTGAAGAACTCTATAGTTTTTGGTTTCACATTTAAGTCTTTGATCCATCTGGAGTTCGTTTTTGTGTATGGTGTGAGGTACAGATCTTGTTTCATTTTTCTGCAAATGGATCTCCAGTTTTGCCAGCACCATTTATTAAACAAACATTCTCTTCCCCATTTAATGGATTTCGGCCCTTTGTCAAAGATCAGCTGACTATAGGTCGATGGATCTGTTTCTGGGTTCTCAATTCTATTCCATTGGTCTATGTATCTGTCATTAAACCAATACCAGGCAGTTTTGACCACTGTGGCTGTATACTAGGTTTTGAGATCCAGCAGTGTGAGACCTCCTACTTTGTTGTTGTTTTTCAATAGTGCTTTGTTTATCCGAGGTCTCTCCTTTCCACATAAAGTTAGTGATTGGTTTTTCCATATTCCCAAAGAATGTTGATGACATCTGGTTGGAATCTAACCCAATTTTTATCCTAACCTCAGCCCACTCCACCCAAACCCCAACTCCAACCCCAGCCCAATCCTCAGCTACAACCCGCTCTTTACCAGTCACAATATTCTACCCTAATTCTACCTTCACCTCACCTTCAACTCGAACCCAATCTGAAAATTCCTAACGTATCTCTTTGCCATCCCTAGCCCCTCACAACCCCATTCCTGTCCGTGACCTTCCTCTGGTACTCACTCCCACTGTGCACTCAGCAAGAGCCAACCGGTGGCTGGATGGACTACACTTGTTGACATCGAGGTGTATGTGCACATACATACACATACACACATCCCAGGAAGAGGAGGGAGGTCCATCCTAGCCCAAAGAACAGGCCTGGAAGGGTAAGTGGACCAAGTGTTTCCTTCCTCTCCTGAGAGCCAGACTCCTTTGGGGTTCCTTATCAGGCTCTGATCCCTCCAATTCCTTCTTCAATATTGACTCTCCACACCCAGAAATTCCTGCCCCTCCTTCACTCCTAGGAACTATCCTGGCCTCCACCCAGGAGCTTGGATGCCAGAGTTTGTAGATTAGAAAGATGGGGGGTGGTGTCCAAAGGCTCTCTTTCCTCCTGTGTACTGGGGACCCCTGCTCACAACACAGTACACAGTGAGCACACATCATGCTGGGTGCACAGTCTTAATGGGGGTAAAAGTCTAGTTGGGCATAGACACACACCCTAACCAGAGCCATGATAGGGGAATGTACCTGGTCTTAGGAGACTCAAGAGAGCTTATTTATCTGGGGATGTGGCGGGGATTATTTGAGCTGGGCCTTAAAGGTTGAGTAGGAGTTCACCTAGTGACAGGAAGGAAGGGGCTCCCAGGCAGATGGAATAGCATGTTCAAAGGCAGGGAAGCATATTCAGTGAATATGCAGAAGAAGGGCGGGTGGGGAAGGGGGTGGGGGGAATAGGCTGGGCTAATTGGAGGAGGAGAGCAGAGGGTGGGCACTTACTGGCAGAAATAAGACGAAGGAGGTTAGGGAGTCAAGGGGCAAGGGAGTCAGAAAGGGTAGGGGAGGAGGTCATTTTTGGATAATCTGCACAGTGGGATCAGCACAGGATGAGGTCTGGCTGTGGCTCAGATAGGTGGGTGGTCACCAGAGGGGGCAACAGGACCAGGAGCTACTGCTGCTATGATGATAAAAATAGTAATAACTGAATGACCATTTTTTAAAATGCTTTCTGTGTGCCAGGCACTGAGTTAGGCATTTTTATAACCTCATTTAGCAACCCCATGTGACAGGTAATGTTATTAGTCCCCACAGAGCACCCTGAGGTTTAGAGAGGGAATAAAATGTAGCCTAAATTCACACACATCAAGATTGGATAGTAGAAGGGATTTGAAGCCAGACAGGAGCTGAGTCCTTCCTTAGAACCACTGTAGCCAGACCTGGCATCTGCCTTGGTCTGCAATCTCATGTCTCGTCAATCACAGCCCACACCTCCCCACTGCAGAGACTCGGTTACTCCCTTCCCTGATATTCTAGAACCGCCTCAGCTCTGGGCTTTCCCAACGGTAGCATCCTTTGCAAGAAATGATCTTCCACCCCGAGACCTTTCAAGAAAATTTCTACCCACTCTCCAAAACTCAGCATTTACCTCCTCTGGGAAAATATGCTGAATGCCTCTGCCCTTGAGGTAACGAGGTAGCCACTCTATGCTCCCCCAGCCCCAGTGCTGCCCTCTTGCCCATCACCCTAACCCAGCACTGCCGCTGTCTGGGCTTCCTCCTCAAAGGCAGAGCTGGGTCTGCAGACCCTAGCCTGCACAGAGCCTGGCCCAGAGAAGTTGTCAGTGAGTGTGCTTGGTCGGTGGATGAATGCAGGACCCAGCCCAGCTGTGAGTCCAAGTGGGTCCCCAGGGAGTGGTGGGGCTCCGACCAGGCTTCAGGAATGGTCTCTTATCTCCTAAGGTTGTCTTGATCCTTATCTGATGAGATTTGAGTTGACTGCAGACAGATGAAACAGTGCAAAGGCTCCTGGTTACTGAGTAACCCTGCCCTCTTTAAAAGTCCCACTGTTTCCCTTGGCATCTAGAACTTGCCACTCCTATCTCTTAGGCACGGCTGCCATGAACACCTTCCTTCTCTCTGCGCTGTGTCTTCTTGGGGCCTGGGCTTCACTGGCAGGTGGAGTCACTGTGCAGGTACATCTTCTATTGCCACAATGGCCCAGCCCCTCTCTGTCTTGGGAGCACAGGGATTATTCTCTAAAAGAGGACTCCCTCTTTGGGCTTAGGCTGGGGTGATGTGTCTGGGGTCCTGCTCTTCCTCAGAGTCTCCCATTTCAGTTCTTCTGACACACCTTGCTCTTCAAACTTGGAGGAGAAAGAATAGCACATAGAGAAAAAAAAAATAACCATTGGGAGAGGTAGATGATTGGCCCACTTTCTGAGTGCCTGCAGGTACCAGGCTCCTCCCCAAGGTTGCACTGTGGTCTTGGGAGGGAGGGATTATCAGCCTTATTTATCACAGAAAAGAGCAATTGAACAGCAGGGAAGTTCTGTAACTGTCCATGGCACATGACTGGGAGGTGAAGGAACTGGATTCCAATCCAGATCTTACCCTTCTCTCCTGCGCACAGCCAGAGAGCCCACCTGGGAGCCTGGTAGGTACCCTGGAGGTCCTGATGGATGGGTGTGCCCACCAGGCCAAAGTCAGGGACAGGCCACTCTGGCACCCACAGAGGCCGGGTTCTGTATCAGAGTTAGACCCCTGGAGCCTTTTATTACTTCTCAGCGACAACCAGGCCACACACAGGCTGGAGCTGGGGACCCCAGGTGATCTGCCAGTACTAGTCTCAGGCAAGGAGAAATGAGCACAGCCTGGACATGGCTCCAAGGAACCAGGATTTCCAGCCCTGCCTTTCTCACTAATATCTGCACAATGGCTCCCCCACCCACCCCAATTGCGTCTCTGAGCCTTCCTGTCTATTTTCTCCATCCCTCATGGGACATTCAGACCTAGGGTCTGTGACCATTCAGACCAAGGTCACAGAACAAAACCAGGGTCAGCTCCAGGGTCTGGCTGTAAGGTCACTGTGTGTTGCCCCACAGTAGAGTATCTTGTTACCATTCGCTAGAAACACTGCTTGAGAGCCACTGGGGCTGAAAGGGACCCTTCCCAGGGGAAACTGCCAGGCAGCAGCTTGAGCCTGCTGAGTCATCTCCCTCTGGACACGTGCCTTTCAGGATGGACACTTCTCCTTTCCTCTGGAGTCGGTGAAGAAGCTCAAGGATCTCCGGGAATTCCAGAAGCCCTGGGTTGGGAACAGCAGGAAGGCCGGACAGGTGGCTGGAGAAATGGCTGGACCTGTGATTCCCATCCTGTGTAGCTACCCAGAATTTCCCAAAGAACTCAAGCCTCTCTGTAAGGAGCCCAATGCCCAGGAGATCCTGCAAAGGCTGGGTGAGTAGTCTCTTCTCCGATTGGTGGGGCCTGGGAATTCTTGTTTGATTGGTGGGACTTGAGAAAGAGATGTGCTCTGATTGGAATTTGGAAGAGGGGGTCTGCTCTGATCGATGAGACAGGGAGCCCAACTCTGATTGTTGGATCTGTTAAGCACTCAGCTTTAATTAGTTGTCAGCTGTAGTTGGTGAGTCTTAGAACACACTTCCCTCTGACTGATGGGTTGGTGGTACTGTTCCCATTCTTCTGGTCATATGGTATTGCCTTTCTCCTTAGAATCTCTGCTCCGATTGGCTAGCTTGAGTAGTCTGTACATCCAGGTTTGGGTGGAGAGTGCAGCTGGTCTGAGGGCTGCTGGGTCTCTCCTGGGCTGGGTAGGGGATAGGCAAGCCCTGGCTCAGGGGAGGCTGGGACTTTAAGGGAAGGGGTACTGTATCTCACAGTCCCCATCTCTCTTGTCCAGAGGCCATCGCCGAGGACCCGAGCACTTGTGAGATCTGTGCCTTCGCTGCCTGTGCTGGATGCTAGGGCCACCATGGGCCTTGTCGCCTTCTTCCTTCCCTCAAGAAAGCCCTGTCTTCTGCCCAGGGGTCACCCATGATACTTTCATCTCCAGCAGCTCAACCTACCCTGCCCCAGAATGGAGGGTGTGAGGAGAGACACAGCCTGGGCAGGGCTGGTGAGTGGAAGCCCAGCCCCTTTCACCATCTGAGCTGCTAGATGCTTCCAGGATCCAACCCAAGCCTCAGCTAATAAAGCAGATTTCAGAATGCTCCAGATGTTGCCTTCATTCCTTTGTTAGCCCACCATCCATCGAGTTTTATTGATTTCTATGCTGCTACCCTGCCCTCAGGAGCCCAGGATTTAGTGGGCTGAGTACAAAGACCCCATTCTCCCTGCCAAGCCACCCTCGCAACACACCCCTCACACAGGCACTAAGGGGACCTAAATTTTCAGACCTCCAGTGGGATAAGGGGTGGAACTTGTACTTCTCCTTTCCCATTATTGGAGGTCATCAGTCACTAAAGCGCACATGAACTCAGGAGCGTGTGCTGGTCTGGATGTTCAGCATAGACATTAGGCCCATGACAAGATAAGCCCCAAGCTCTTGGGCATGGTATTCAAGGTCCCTCAGGATCTGGCTCCCACTACCATTCCACCATGGCCTCCTGCCACCCCTACTACCCCTAGCTACACTATTCACCATTTCCTTTGCTCCTGCTCACCTCTGTACCCTTCCTCTTCCCATGACTTTAAGCAGGTAAATTCCTGCTCGGGCCTGAAGGCTTAGCTCCTGTGTCCTCTTCTCTAGATGCCTTTTCTGATTCCCCGGAAGAGTGTGCTCCCCTCGATCCTGGGTGCTCCCAGGGCAATTCAGCCACTTGTATCCCTTGCACAGCTTTGACCACCCTGGAGTATAAGGGCTTCTTTGCCCAGGGAGGTGGCTTTGACTCCCAGGAAATGTGAAGTCCACCCACATAGATGATTGCATGAGGACATAACACAGGGTGTGGGAAAGCAAGAGCTACACAGTCTCAGCCCTGGTTTCCAACCCCAAATCCTTTCAGAACTGCATGATGTTGGGAAAGTCACTTTCTCTCTCTGTGCCTCAGTCTCTTCTGTAAAACAAGGATAATAACAGTATGTAATTCCCAGCATGGGTGAAAGAATACATGCAAAAGCCCTCAGTTCTGGCCTGTCATGAGCATAAGAGGTAAAAACTAGCCAACCAGAGGAAGGAGTGCCAGCATCAGGATGAAAATGGTTGAGACAGGTGAGGAGGTAAGACATGGAGGAGAGGCCAGTTGGCAAAAGTATGGGGAACCAAGGAAGAGGTAGGACCAGGGTCATACTTGAGGACTGGGGGGACTGGAGGTGGAGTGTCACAGGATGGTTCGGGAAGAAGGGGCCTTGAAGAATGGATGGAATTTCAAAACAAAGAAGGGGTAAGGGAAGGGAGAGGGCATCCAGAAGGTAGGAATGGTGGAACACACAGCCAGGAAGGTGGGAGGTGCTAGGATTGTTCATTCTGGATTGTGTGTAGGTCCAGAAGCCAGATGGGACTGGGTTTGAGCCTGCTGTGCTATTTTTAAGCCATGTACCCCTCTCTGGGCCTGGGCTTCCTCCTGTGAAAATGAGTAGATAGTGAATTCTGTCTCACAGAGTTGCTGGGAGATTGGAAGAGATCTAGCTAGGAAGTGGTAGAATCACTCGATGGTCAGATTCTGCAGACAACTCTCTGGGCCCAAGTCCTGGCTCTGCTTGTTGCAAGCTCTGTGACTCTAAGCAGGTTACATAAGCCTATCTCGCTTCAGTTCCTTATCTGCAAAATGAGGATGGCAATAACCCCTACTTCAAGGGGCTGAGTGAGGATTCAATGAGTAATATGAGTAATGCTCCTTAGGCTCCAGTAGGCCTATAGTATGTTCTTTGTGGATGCCACCTTCAGTGCAGGGAATTACAGCCATTGGTCAGTTTTGCCATCCTACTAAGCTTAAAAGAGAGCAATTCCAAAGCAGAGAGGGGACTTCATGACAACGAAGAAAGAAGAACTGGGAATAGATTGAGTGCATCCTTTGGACCCGGGGTCCCTGCACTGGGAACCTCCTAGAGCCAGGAGGCAGAGAGAGGGAGAGGTCTGTAACACCAGAGAGACGGCAAGAAATGGCTATAGACAGATGGTGGCAGCCAAGGCAGCAGAACCGAGAGACTGGTAGGAGATGGCACAGTGGTCTTCCTGGCCCATGGCGTGAGAGAGCTGAGCGCCTTTGGGCAGGAGGCTTGCTGGCAGAGTGGGGTGCCTATGGGCATTTTTCCGTGGAGCTAGGCTTCATGAGCCATGGGACTGGAGCTGAGTGCTGTTGGGCTGATGCTTACTGGTGGAGCAGGGTGCAGCTGGGCATTTATTGGCAGAACTACAAGAGCTTTGTAACACTTGCCTAAGGAAGGCAGAGACTGGGCCAAGAGGTAGGAGGCCAAGGACCAGAGAGAGGCCTGCCTGCAGCACAGCTGAGAAGCTATCCAGATTGAAGAACTGTATCCTGAGTCCTTTCTGATCCTGTTACTTCCCCAATAAACCTCATAATTGTGAGTATTGTCTGTGAGTTCTGTGTGTCCACCACAACAAATTATGGAACCCAGCAGAGAAGTAGAGAGTGCTATGGGAGGGACAGTTGGTGTCAAAATAGGTAAAAAGTTTGGAGGGTAGAGGCATGTCTGACTCCCCCCTCCATAGGAATCAGCTTTGGCTGATGCTGATGGTTACCTTCCTTCCTCCTGGTGAAGTTAAACAAGGAGCTCAGATGCCTCCACCATGCCACTGTTACACTACCATCGTTATAATCGCTATATAAGTGGCCCAGACCTCTGCCAGGCACAGAATAGGTGCTCAGTCAGGGTTCCTCCCCAGACAAGTGGGGGCCCAGTGTAGGGGAGGGGGGTAGAGGGAGGCAAGGCCAGATGGTCCATGTGCTCAGGATAGACTTGAGAGGGGGCACTGGGAAGCCATGGAAGGACACGGGCATTGTTATGGGTAAAACGCCTAGAGTAGTGCTGAGGACAGAGCAGATACTCAATAAACACTGGCTGTTGTTATTATTATTCCTCAGAGCACCCAGATGCATGGGGTGAGAGAGGGACCAGGAGGTGGCCAGAATGGATGGGTCAATGGATGGTCCCCTGGGTGCTGAGGAGAAATCAGGGGCTCAGGGAGCTGAGGGAGAAGAAAAAGGAACCATCTTCTCAGACAAGGTCTGGGCAGTCAGCCCTGAAGATCTGCTTTGGAGGCTTGGGCACCCTGTGATTCTCCCTCCAGTTACTCCTCCATCCCTATCTCCTCCAAGACACCTTCCTGCCCTGGGTCAGAAGACAGAAGGTCTTGCTCTGCAGCTGGAGCAGGACTTGAGGTCAGCGTGAATGTCAACTGGGTCTGGGAAGCTCTTGAGCTTCTTCGCTCTGTGACCTTGGGTGTTCATTGCCCTGCCTGAACTTTGATTTCCCTCATATGTGTTCCTGATCAGGAACTGTGTGTGGTTGATAAATGAATGCAGGACTTACACAAGCTACGGGTTAAACTAGGTGCCCTGGGAGAGGCCACATGTCTACCAGGCTCCAGGGAATGATCTCTTATCTTCCAGGGCTTTTTGGAGCCTTATCTAATGTGGCTCATGTTGATGGTAGAGCAGATGAAATGGTGACCAATGTTCCCGTGTTACTCAGTGACTCTGTCCTCTTCAAATTCCTTCTGTTTTCCCCTGGCATCCAGAACCCATCACTCTTGGGCACTGGTACCATGTACACCTTCCTGCTCTTCACGATGTGTCTGTTCAGGGCCTGGAATTCCCTGGCAGGTGGGGTCTCTATACAGGTATATATCCCTTGGTGCCACACCAGCCCAGTGGTTCTCTGCCTCCAGGGCATAAGCCCTATGGAAGGATGTGTCTGGGACCTGGCTCTTTTTCAGGAACTCCCTTATCAGTCCTGTCTCATACAACTTTCCCTTCAAACTTGGCACAGAAAGACGACCAGGTGAAGAGAAAAATCACCAGTAAGGAGAGATGACTCCACTTACTGAGTGCCTGTTCCGTGCCAGGCTCCTCACCAGGACTTCACTACAGGCCCGGGAGGAGGAGATTATTAGTCACATTGTACAGAGGAGGAAAACTGAGCCTCAGAATCTGGCCAAGCCCCCAAACCAGAGCACAGAGGGAGGCACCCCTCTGAAGACTTTCTTATTTCCAGAGTGAGGGATGAGACTCCTAGACCCAAGGGGGGCCTTGCCCAGGGTCACAGTATTCCCTGCTGAGCTCAGAGAGCCAGTGCCGTTCTCCCCACACAGGCAGGCCTTACTCGCATGACTCCTCCCAGCCACACAGTTGTCCTGGAAGGGAGACAGTCCCCTGTGGTCTCTTCAGGCCTTTGCATGAGCTGTACCCTCTGCCTGGGACTATTTTTCCATCCTCTGGATCTAGTTCCCTCTTGCTCATCCTGTGGGGAGGAAGACTGCTTAAGGGTTACCCCCTCACGGAAACTTTGTGGTGGCTACCTCCCTCCACCCAGCTGAATGGCATGAATACCAAGAGCTATTGGAGCAGAAAAGGGAGTCTCCTCCCCAGTTGGCTCAGCAGGGCAAGGATCTCTTCCTATTCCTCACTCTGACCTCTGCAATGTCAACACTAATCTCCATGAAGAGCTCAGTAAACAAGAGTTTGTTATTGTTACCACCAGGATCACTACATTCCAGCTGCTCCCTTCCTCAGCTGGCCCTCATCAATTATAATCCCCCTGGTTACCCAGTTTTAACCCTATCTCAATTCTAAACTAACACTGCATTTACCCACCATTAACCTTAGCTCTATTCTATTTCCTAACCCCAAACTTACTTGAATCCTAACATGAACTGCCATCCCTAATTGCTACCTCCATCTAATCCAACTTAACTGCCATCCCTACCCACACCTGAATGGTGATCTTAACTCAACTTTCAGCTGAACCCCAGCTCATCCCCATTCAAACCACAAATCCAGTCC